TGTCTTCAGCAGGCTTTCTCGACCACCGCTGAACTCCGCGAGCTCGAGCGACGTCTTTAGCAGGATTTCTCGACCACCGCTGAACTCCACGAGCTCGAGCGACGTCTTTAGCAGGATTTCTCGACCACCGCTGAACTCCGCGAGCTCGAGCGACGTCTTTAGCAGGCTTTCTCGACCACCGCTGAACTCCACGAGCTCGAGCGGTGTCTTAAGAAGGATTTCTCGACCACCGCTGAACTCTGCGAGCTCGAGCGATGTCTTCAGCAGGATTTCTCGACCACCGCTGAACTCCGCGAGCTCGAGCGATGTCTTCAACATGCTTTCGCCCTACCTCGGGCACCGCCGCAGCGATTTTTCGGAACACGCATCTAGGCTACGAGTACGAGGACTCGCTCCCAAGCTCCGCGAGCTCGGGCAACGCCGCAGCGATCTTTCCGAACACGTATCTAGGCTACAAGTATGAGCACTCGCTCTCGAGCTCGAGCACCGTCGCAACAAGCTCTCCATGCTCTTTCGTGCACCTATGGCTCTCGGCCAACCCTGCACTTATCTTAGCATCACAAAAACACATTTCCAAAGATATAGAAACAATCGATATTTCTTCACAAACAATACACCAAAGAAACTTATCATGACATGTGAATGTGATCATCGAGACAAATAGAGAATAACTTATGTTACCTGGAGTTGAAAATATAACTGCTGACCTTTTAAAGAAAACAACTGGGGTGAGGAATATATCATCGAGCAATTCCTCTGCATAATCGAGCATTGAAGTATATCGTCAAACGATTCCTCTCCAACTTCTCGCCATAAAATGTCAAAACCTTTGTCGGGCTCTTCCGATCTTGATACGTAAATAAACCGTGTTGTCTGGTCAAATTAATGATTTCAAGACCCGATAACTGATGACAACCACCAATGATTTTTCATGTACATCGCCCCTTCGATCCACGAGGCTCTAAAAAACCATAGCGGCCAATATGTTCTTCTATTCGATTTGAAAAATCTGAAAATGCTCGCCCTTGCTTTCTTTTTTCGCACCTTGTTGTTTTCACCCACCTTTCGCTGGTGATTAACGGGCCAAGCTACACTGTTTACTACTTTCACCGCTTCTTTTCCTAAAAAGCCTGCTATCATTTTTCTTTTTTCTATAAAACTCATGGCTGATGTTCATTCTTTCCTCTAAAAATTTGGTGCTTGCTTTACTCATAACTGAAGTGGGTGGATAAAGAAAGCATTGGACCACTTGACATATCAAGCCCACTGTTACAGCTGCGTAAGTCTCGCCCCTCGACAGACACTATCACCGACCTCTCCGGCCTCCAAAGTCACAACTGTGCTCGCCAGGGCCCTATAGCTATCGCCGACACCTCCATCCTCGACCTTAAACCGCAACACCTGCCAGGCCGGCCTCACCGTGGCCCAAATTGCAACCCGGCGCCCGTCACCACCTACAAAAAGCAATAGCCCGAACCCTCTGTCACGCAAATCGAGACTCCCTATTACGGCTGGCACCTGATCGAATCACGGCCGACTGCCTCCTCACCACGACCAGGAACCGACCAAAACCCTGGTCAAACTCCGATTTACACCACCGGGGCCCGACCCCGTCGCGGCCGACCTTCTAACAAACACCCCCACTACCACGACCCGAGCCGCTCGCAACCCCGCCACCGGGGCCTCTCACCCTCGCCGCCGACGAGATCAAACTCCACCTCCCGGTCACGACCCGAGCAACATCCACCGTCGATACTGGGCTCTTCAAATCGCGACCGAGCTTCGTGTAGAGAACCCGACCACAACTTCACAGCCTCTACCCTCTCGCCGATAGCCTCTCCTTTTTCGAATTTTTTTCTTTCATCAAACTCGACAACTACAAATTGAAGCCCAAATTTGGGGCCCAAACCGGAAATTTGTGAGACAACCGTCATCCTTGTCAAGCGTCGCACGAAACCTGGTGGCAGCAAACCTCAGTTGTAAACGGCACCCACCTCAGTTACGAGTGCTCATTGCTTGCCCTTTTTCCCTTTCACGTAGCTTGGGCTAATTAAAAGATTAAGCCCATTTCTTTTCTTTTTACATTGTCTGGGCAAATTTCAAAACCAGCAGTCACACAATCCCAAAAAATAAAAACCACCATAGCCCATTTACCTTATGGCTCCATTCAACCTTAAAGGCCCAATATACTGCTTTTTTATGCTATGCCAATTTAGCTTCGGGCCTATTAATCCATTAGACCCCAACATGGCCCAAAAGCTGAAAGTAAAACCCAATTTTCCTTACCCGATGATTTTTACTTGAACAAGCCAGCTGCTAGTTCTCGGCCCAAATCAGATTATTGTGAGGGCATCGTCATCCTCCTCAAACTCTGCACCAAACCTCGCGGCAGACCTCAGTCGTGGGTGGCGTCAACGGGCTCTGTTCGTGAGCGAAAAACAACGATTTGACAGCAACTTGGTGATCAGGCTTCGGGGTCGTGACGCTCTTCCCCGACCATTCTCTCTACTTCACGGTGGAGGATGGCTCCGGCAGCGCCTCTGCTGCAGGCGGGTCCGTCGCGCCCAAGATCAGACAACGGCTGTGGTCGGACCTCAGGGCAGCGCGTCGACCAGACTCGAAATTACGACAGTGATTTGAACTCGGGGCAGTGTGTCGGTCCTTCTCTTCTCTTTTTTCTTTTTTTTTTGAATGCGTAAGAAATCTGGATTGTTCCCCGATAATGGATGTCTCCTCCGAATACCGAATTTTGTTGAATTTTTTGTTACATTATCTTTTTTTTTTATGCGTGCAACACTCTTTCTTTTGGTAATAAATTTTCTTCTCTTTCTCCTATGCGTACAAGATACGGGATGCCGAATTATGTTCCCTGGTAGAAATCGGTGCTCCCCACAGATGGCGCCAATTTGATGGCCAAGATAATTGACTCACCGAGGTTGCCGGTCGAACCGCCTCATCTCAGTTGCATGAGAGTTTGTACATCTCGATCGCCTTCTTCTTCCAGAACCGGATCAACCTGCAAAGCACCGGGGTCGGGCCCCGGCGTAGACACTCCGACGCTCAAGTCAGAACATGAATATTTTAATCGTGTATCTTACGTAATCTCAAGAGCATGTCATTAGAAAATAAACTCGGTCCCTTATTTATAAGGGGTTTAATGACTTACTCCCCAAGATAATGAGTTTTCTTAACAAACAAGAATTCTTATACTCCTCATAATTGTGTAGATATACACAAACTTTCATGAATATCTTTAATTAATACCGTGTATCACGTAAATCAGCTTTAAGCTTCCTTAGACCGGCCTATCCGAGCTAACCGCTCAGGCTGGTCCACCGAATTTTTTTTCATGCTACATCAGATTGCTTGTTTCACTACAAAAAAAAATTGTTATATTCCTACGAAAAAATCATTTCTCTTATCTTCACCGCTCTTTTCTCTTCTATCTCTTTTCTCTTATCTTTTTCGTATTTTTCTTTTTCTCTTTTGTTTTTTTAATCTATTCGGCTATTCCATTCCTAGTAGGAAACTATTCAAAAAAGGGAACATATATCAAATAATACTTTTACCATAAACAAAATTTACTATAACTGTATAAAATTATATATGCATACAATAACCCAAAAAAATAAAAATAAAATAAAATAAATGGAAATATCTTGTTGATAAACGGATTTGATCAACCTTTTTAAATGTTAAATCTCGGTGTTAATGAAGAAAAAAGGTGATTTTATTAAGGAATCGTGGGGTCTTTTGTAACAGACTCAAGTCGGTAGGTCAGACTTGAGGTCGGTTTTTCTGTAGTACAATAATGTCTCAAATTGGCCTGGACCGAGGTGATTAATGCGGAATTTAATGTGTCCGAAAAAGATCCTCGTATCGTGTTTAATGCGGTTATTTATAGTAACTATGGGCTCGTCTTTTGAGGGGATGCAGCGGCATTTAATGTAGTGTGACAGGGCCCAGACCTTTTTCAGCAAGTGGGACCCCTTTGCAATGATGCCCTCACGTGGCTCTCAGCTATCTGATGGACGTGCATTTAATGCTGCCTGTCGGTACCGACGTCGACCCATATTTGAGGTCGCCTTTGCTGCGAGGTCGGCGTCTTGGCGTAGTCGGCTCTCCGAGGTCGGTTTACACAACTCGGAAACCTTCTCTTCATTCGACTCGGATCGGTCCCTTTTCTTCCTTTCATCCACGTGTCCTTCATCCGACGTCCGAGAGAATTTTTATGTCAACATATCTATCATTAAAAAAAAAGTATTGAGGTCAAAGTCAAAATATAGAGGGCCGTGTGTTGCACACTGTGATGTGTCTGTCAAAGACCATTTCTATATTCCCACCAGTCCATCGTGTATATATACATTGCAATTGGACGGTCATATAAATAGATTACTCAATAATAAATAAATAAACTTCAAATTCAGTTTTGTTGTTGTGGACTGTGGTTCCTCGTGGACTATCTAAGACTCATTTTCGTTCATAATAATTATATCCACTTATTTATTTCAAATTTTTGTTCTTAATATTTATATCCACCTTTTTTTTTTTTTTTTTATATATATGTAAAATTTTAAAATTATTTCAATTTTGAGTGAGTAGTCAGTACTAAAGCTGTAAACGAGCCGAGTCGAGCTCGAGCTTAAGGTGTTTGAGCTCGAGCTCGAGTTTTTAACGAGCCGAGTAAGAAAACGAGCCAAAAGTCGAGATCGAGCTCGGCTCGTTGAGGCCTCGAGCTCGAGCCTTAACGAGCCGATCTCTAACTTTAACGAGTCGAACTATAAAAAATTACATAAATTTAACTTTTCGAGCCAAGTCGAGCTCGGCTCGTTAACCAAACAAACTTTAAATGAGCTCGAGCTCGGCTCGTTAAGGCTTCGAACTCGAGTCGAACCGAGCCTTAACGAGTCGAGCTCGAGCTCGAGCCGAGACGAGCCAGACTCATTTAATTTAACAGCACTAGTCAGTACTGGCCATGATTGTCCCATATCCGGAGAGCATGTGTTAGTTTTTAGTTGAAATTATTGTACTCAGCATTGTCTCTTTGCATTTGTCCTAAATTTGATTCAGACAAAATTGGAAAATAAATAAATAAATAAATAAATATAATAAAGGGGATTAATAATGCTAAAAAATATCTTAAAAAGAAGATTCCATTATCGGTAGTTTCCAAATAATTTAGAGCATTAGCAAATTCAATACAGACATATATTTCCACAACAAAAGCAGAGTTTTTCCTATAGCTTATACAAATTTATTATCAATGTTTTTCAATACTATGTGTTAATTAAAATTGATATGTGCCGGTTTTATGTGCTTACAAGTCTTTATTTTTAATAATATTTATTACAATTTTCAAAATTAAAAAACAAATTACTTGATCAACTTAAAATATTAATATACTTTAACACTTAATAACATTTTAACTGTTTACCAATTTTCATGTGAAATGTCATATTAGTCAAATGAAAATATAAGTATATATATAGGGGTTGGTTAAAAAGAAAAAAATAGTGTTGGTGTGAGAACTATATTTGATGTTATTTTTCATTGTGTATAATGTTATTTTTAATATTACATGGTGCTATCATTTTCACACATGCTAATATAAAATGGTGTTTCTACTTTTAAAAAAATATATCCTAATTAAAAATAACACAAAACACAATCATTCATAGCAATACATATAATTAAAAATATCAGTTCTCACGGTTCTCACGCTGGAACATGGTTATCATTTGAACCACATCATATATATATATATATTCAAACTTAGTAACATTTTTAACTTGTTATAATTCTACATATATTATGAGATATCAAATTTTGATTATATGAAAGTTTTAAAAGGTACTTAAAGTATTACTTTTTTTTTTTAACAATTTTCCACGTTTGGCACATTAAAAACGTTGGAGCAATAGTTGATTTTAAACCAATAAAGATGTGTTTGTGGTCCCCTAGCTATTTGCTCTTCATGTTTTACACGGTGGGTAAGAACCCTATAAATAGATGACATTATTTTCCTTAGCCACCAACATCACATTACAGCCACATAAAATTTAAACTTTTAATTTTTGTATCTTCATGGAGCACTCATTTCTATCATCCCAAGCCTCTAGAGCAATATTTGAGGTAAATAGCTAAAAATATATAATAACGCTTAAGTATATATATGATTGATAAAATAAATTATTATATGCTTCAAATGATATAGTCTTTACAGCCCTGGACTTTCTGAGATTAACATATTATATACACAGTCGACACGTTATTTAAAGATTACGAGATCTTGACACGTGGCGAGCGGGTGACCAAATTAACATTTTCGTTTTTTTTTTAATGAATTTCTTTTACAACAATATTGTTCATGGGGGTGTGTTCATGGGGGTGTGCAGGACACATTCCTTCTGGGCATGAAAAATTCAAGAATCGAGCAAGTAAGAAGCGTGCTTGCCAAATTCGAACAAAATTCACTGGAGAGCTTAGTTCTTGTGGATATCATCCAACGGCTTGGCCTCGATTATCTGTTTGAAGATGAGATCGGAGCCATTCTTGACATGCACAACATTTTGGCCACTAAAAGCGCATTTCTCAAGCACGAGCTTTACCAAGCTTCCCTTTGTTTTCGTCTGTTGAGGCAACAAGGATACCAAGTTAATGCAGGTAAATTTATAATGAACCTTCTCATGACTTTTTTTGTTTTTTTGGTTTATGAACATTGTTTAAATCATTTTAAACATTTTGAGTATGTGTTAGATCCAAGAGTTAGAATCTCAATATAGTACACCTATATAATTGAAGTGTACCCATCTTGTTGATGTTTGCATGTACCTTACATGTACTCTTATTTATTAATAATGCTCATATATGTACAAAGAGAGGAATAAATTGTACGGAAAATGCTAAGGTCCCGTTACGTAACCATTCCATCGGGGTTTGTAATCGTTAGATCATCATGTAACCATCAGAGATAGTTGATCTAACAGTTACAACTCTGACGGAATGGTTCCGTAAAAAGACCGTAACATCTTGCAAATTATACAAACCCTAAAGGCGAAATTTTCGATAAATTGACTCTACCTCACGTAGTGTTTTTATTGAGTTTTTCTCTTTTTGTCGAATCACATATATTCACATATATTCCATAAGTATCAATTGATTCAACAATAAAAAAACACGATTATGTTTGTCCTATAAGTGGTAGCGACGTCTACCCATCTTGTTGATAGTTACATGTACCCAACACGTACTTTTTTTTTTTTCTTAAAAAATAAAATAAAATGCTACATGTATCTATAAAGACTGGCATCATATATGTTCCAAGTAGGAACTAGCTCCATAACTTTTATAAGATATAAATAAAATTGGTTTTGTTTGGATTTATTTAGTGAGTTAATTTTGAATAAAAAATTGTTGGATTTTGGGTGTTGTATTGAAATAATATTTAAATTATAATTATTAAAAAATTGATGTAAGGTAAAAGTATAAAAGATGCTATATTGAAAATGATTTATACTTCAAAACATGTGAGTTGATAAACAACGAATTAAAATTGATGTGATATATGTAGATGATTTATTAATATTATATAATTATATTGATAATATATATAAAGGAGAGTTGAGTTGAATTGAATTAAATTTTGATTTAAGTAGAATAATAAAATTATTCTCAGTCAAAACCGATTTTAACTTGTACCCTGCCTTTAGCAACGGGAGCCGGCTAAATTTTTGAAATTGTGATCTCTACTAAGGCAAGAACATCAAGAACCGATATCGACGCATGCGTAATCCAAAAAATTTACGTGTACTAAAATTGCAATTTAGTCGGAAAATCGAGCTTCACTTTAGGAAATACGCATGACTAGTATCTGGGTTCATTAATTTCCAAAACTCATTTTCCCCAACCACGACAGATGACTTTTTCGGAAAATTTAAGGACGAGGAGGGCGGATTCTGTTTCGGGGATGGTCTGAATACGGACACAAAAGCCGCACTCGCTTTGCACGAAGCTTCACACGTGCGCGTAAACGGAGAAGAAATTCTGCACGAGGCAGCAAAATGCAGCTCTCAATATCTGAGTCTTATGCTGATTAATAACATCAAAAGCCTCGATCAAGACCACGCTAAAACGGCGAAGCATTCTTTACTATATCCACAACACAAAACAATGACTCAATTCATGTCCATGGATTTTCTTCGAAGCCTCAAAGGTCAATACGGTTGGGAATCTTCGCTGCAAGAACTAGCAGAATTAGAGTACACGAGTCTCGAGTCACTGCACAAGGATGAACTTGTTCGAGCTGTCAAGTAAGTTGTACAAATGAAAGTTAAAGGAAACTATGTTATATATCCGATTTTAGGCGAAATAAACTGAGCCAACTTGTTCTAGTGTCCAATATGTTGGAAAAATCAATTATAAAACTTGAATTTGACCCGGTTTTGACTGAATCTTCGATTGCTAAATATTTAATTCGGGTTAAATTAAATTGTGTAGGAAAAATTCTACATACGAGTTGTACTCCTGGTATATTTATTTTCCGAAAAACTGATTTTCGGATATTCTCACACACTAAGCATTACTTTTTTCTTACTTCCATTGATTCAATTTGATGCCAAATAAATTTTGCAGGTGGTGGGAAAATTTGGGCCTGAGTAGCCAGCTAAAATCGTTAAGAAACGAGCCCATAAAATGGCACTTGTGGTCGATAGTTACGCTTTGGGATCCAAAGTGGTCCGAACAGAGGATTTTACTGACGAAGCCCATCTCACTCGTTTTTGCTGTCGACGACATTTTCGACCTTTACGGCACATTAGAAGAACTCACTCTCTTCACGGATGCTGTTAACAAGTATGATCATAATATCAAGCTTACAGATCAATTATCATATATTAGGTCCCCTGTTTGATTATTTAAACGATAATTTTGAAAAAAAAAAAATGATAATGGTTAAAAATGCGCGCAGATGGAAAATTTGTGCCGCCGAAAAGCTACCGCCTTACATGAAGACATGCTTCATGGCGATTTACGACTCCACGAACGAAATTAGTCGAGTGGTGTCTCAAGAGCACGGTTGGAATCCAGTCGAGTTTCTCAAGAAAGAGGTGCCTTAACTACAATCATTCAACATTGTTATTATATAGCATTTTATTGTACAAGATATATTTTCTTGCTCAAATTAAGCTTCACGATCCTTTATTCGTACAGGACATGTCAGAATATATATTTCATCAAGAAAATCCAAAATGATATATAAATCATCATGGCATGAAAGACATCAAGTAATTATATATAATGATTTTATTTTTTTTTATTTTTTTTTTCATATACATGCAGTGGAAAAATTTGTTCGATGCATTTTTGAAAGAAGCCGAGTGGTTTTCGTCTGGAAAATTGCCAAAGTCGAAAGAGTATCTCAAGAATGGAGTTATAAGCTCAGGGGTTGTAATGGTTCTTGCACATCTTTTTTTCCTCATGGGAAATCGTTTAACGAAAGAAACGGAAAGTCTACTCAACGATCAATCTCAAGGCATTACTTATTCGGTCGCTACTTTACTTAGGCTTCTCGATGATTTGAGAACAGCTCAGGTATAATTTTTACTAGCTTAGTAATTAGTTCGTGTTTTGTTCGCGTTCGGGACTAATTAAACTAATAAATTGAAATACAGGACGAGCAACAAGAAGGTTATGATGGATCTTACATAGAGTGCTACATGGAAGAACACGGCCATTCTTTAGAGTCGGCACGTGAGCATGTTATGGCAATGGTTTCATGCACGTGGGAAAATCTGAACAAGAAATCCCTTTGTTCAGTCAGTCCATTTTCTCTATCTTTCAGAAAAGCATGTCTAAATGCGGCACGGATGGTCCCGATGGTGTATGCTCACGACAAAAATCTTCGGATTCCGGTTGTTGAGCACCTCATTAAATCTTTGCTACGTGAGTCATCTAATTTGCCGAAAGCATGAGTTTGAGCTCTTGATATTCGAGCATTTCACGAGCTAAATTATACTAAAAAAAAATTATCGAGTAAAAGCCTATTTATGGAGCTTTAAAGGAGCTCGAGCCATTATGAGTCGAGTAGAACCCACAAGCGGTTTATTTCCTATAACATTCAACAGTTTGTATATAGAATATTAGAATCTATCGTCTCTATATATTAATAGCAAGATGATTTTTCTGTTTGGCAATGAGATTGACTTCCGTTGTGGGAATAATTAGTAGTTCGAATGTGATGTTTATTGTAATTAATTTGACATGTAATTAGTTAATTTTTCTAACATGCATCATATATATAACATGATTGATAGATAATTTATTTAACTTATATATGAATTCTAATTTACAATTGATTCGGTAGCTGACTCTAATTTAATAATGGTAGACCTGATAAATTACAATTGATTCGGTAATCGACTTTAATAATGGTAGACCATATTTTAATGATACCTATGATTATGAAAGAACAAAATTAAAATTAGTTAGTTACTAGTAGGAAATGCTTAGAATCATCCCTGCTAATTATTTCACCCTTGAGATTAAGCTCAATAAGCAAAATGGGAAACTCGTAATAGCATGGAAATATGATATATGAGGATAGCTTGGGTTTCTCATTAAATTTCCAGAAAAAAATATATTAGGTAATAGCAGTATTAAAATATAATATTAATTGTGAATTGTCTCACGCCGTTTATACAGAGAAAATGACCTAACTTATTGATGTAGCGAAAGCGTGAACGAACGGGAAGATAAAAGATACAAGGAGATACTCTCTCCAGAACACGGGATACTCTCCTAAAAGAAAACACGATATCTTATTTCATTCAATATTCAACTGATCCATTATTCCATCAAACACTAATAATAAATAGAACTTCTAACTTGATAAACAAGAAATAAATATTCTTCTAATCAAGATAGAAGATTATCCTAACCAACTCAATAGATAAGGAAGAGATAATAATAATGATAATAATAATAATAATAATAATAATAATAATAATAATAATAATAATAATAATAATAATAATAATTAACTATCCTCATCACTTATCCTGGTGGGTTTGAATTGATATAAAAGTATGAAAGATGTTATTGGAATTGAATTAAAGTTGATGTTACGTATGAGAATAATTGATTGATATTATAATTTAACTATATACAATAGAGAAATAATTGATTTATTTTATTTAAATAATTTATGAGAAGTGATTGAATAAATTTGTATAAATGTATCAAGCACTAGACGTCAAATTTCATCAACAGAGGCATTTATTAATTACAGCAAAACAACATCATAAAAAAGACAACACAACTACACACAATAGCCTCAACCGATCATCAACACAAACACAATCAATACTACTTCACAAGACCACCAAATCCCGACCTCACGGCTTCACAGGGACCGCCCTAAGAGGCACTGCTTTCTGCAGCGTGATCCCAAACTTCTCGTCCATATCAAGAACTTCGGATTCTATCCCTTCTTCAATCCGCCACTCGAAACCCCCGACCAGCGTGGCAAGCATGAGGTGAACCATCCTATGC